TATATTTCTGTCCAAATAATATAAAAAATGCAACAAATTTCATATTAACCAAAAGAACAAATCTTTAATAAAAATATATATATACATAAATAAAAATAAGTAAAGTGAAAGTTTTTAAGAGAGAGAAAGAGGGGCAGTAACAAACTGGTCAAAAGGTTAGTTTTTTTAGGAGATCCTTAATCAAATGGAACGAGTCGCGTTACCATTTTTTTTTTTTTTTCATTTTTACTGCTTCTTTTGGTTAAAGGGTCTAATTTGATCCCTTAACTATTATATATACTTTTAATTTAATTTTTAAGCTAAAAAATTTTTGATTTAATCCCTATTTTTTTACAAATTTGACATCAAGTTAGTTCTTTCCTTAAAAATTATTTACACTTTGTCATTTATTTTTCTCTTTTATCTTGATTAGCAAACTAACATTTTAATCCTAATTATAAGAAGTCCCTGATAATTATGTATGAACCTTTATAGAAGAATGCACCCATGTTTTTGTGATAATTATCTAATCATGATGCATTTCATGATTTATTTAACTGGTATTCTTTTATCAATTCACAGCCGAGGACCAAGCTTGGAAGTAATGAGGTCATTGGAAGTCTCTCTTTCTCACTTTAAATAAAGTAAGTGACATGTCTTCGCAATCTTATTTACCACATAACTAGAAAGGGATTTTTTGAGATAACAAAAATAGTTGACATTTTCATTACTTAATAGTAGAAAACTATTATTTAATGGCCACATGTCATACTAATAATAAGATACGTTAGTTATTTTTGTACAAAAAGACTAATTTAGGGTTAAATTTGTAAAAAGCATAGGACTAAATCAAAAAAAAAATTAGTTTAAGAATGAAATTGGAGGTCCCTATAATAGTTGAGGGACCCTTTTTCAACCTCCTTGGCCACGCGCCTCTTCCATGGGCCTCCGCTCCAGGCAGGTTGGGGAGATTACAAATTGAGTCACGCGCCGCCCGTTGGAGGAAGTGGAAAGTTAAAAACTAAGTTGGGGTGTCTTTGTTGTGTATGGTTTTAAATAAAAGAAAATAAATAAATAAAGGCTCATGTTAAATTATCATATTTTTAATAACCCAATTTCTTTTTTTATCTTTAAATTCTATAAATTTATTTTGTACTGATAATAATAATGGTTGGAAATATATTCCAACTCCCATGGATACAAAAAAAAAAAAAAGAATAAAGGATAATTACATATTCTATTAGTAACTGTACCTCTAGGGGACTCTTATTAATAGTGAAAAACTTGAATTTTAATGTTATGTTAGAGAATTTAATTTCAAATTTTGAGATAGAGGTGTAGAAATTTAGCAATGAGAAAGTTATTTATATTGTATGATTCATCATCTTACATACCATTAGTAAATAAAAGAATTTCATTATTAATTTTAACCTATAAATTATATTTTTAATATACAATCTGATTTAAAAGAAATTTTTGTTTTATCATTACTTAACAAGCACACTTTACTTCATTACGAAGTCTTCCTTGAAATACAAAGACATCAAAAAACCAAAGAAACTGTAAGCATCTGCAGCTCCAAGTAATCTCAAGGATGCCTTTCTTTGTAAAATTTCCTATGCTCAATAATTCCCAAAAGTTAAAAAAAAAAAAGGGCCTAATGGAACTATAGAACTCTTGGTTTCTTAAATTTGTTTGTGTAAGTATTTCCATCAAAACAGACTTACACCCAAAGAAAGCAGAAAGCAGATTTACAAAAGGGGGCAGAATATTGTAGCTTTTAACCTCAAAAGCCTTTCCAAAACTCTGATTCTTTTGGCTGGTAGATGATCTTTTCAAACATATCTTTGAGCTTCCCGTGTGCAATCATCTCATCCAAGATTCTATCTTCATAACCAACATCACAACTTCTGTTCTTTTCTTCCCTTGATGAAAAAACTAATTCAGATATGCGATCCTTCTCAACCTGTGTACAATATTTAACAGATTCTGAAGTACCTGATATCATCAGATGATAAGTGTACACAACTCTCTTTTGGCCAAGTCTATAAGCCCGGCTTATAGCTTGCCTTTCAACAGAAGGATTCCAGACCACATCCAGCAAGATCACTCTTGATGCACCAACTAGATGTATGCCTTCTGAACATGCCTTTGTTGATGCCAGCAGTACCTTGGCTTCACTTTTTGGATCATTGAAAACTTTTATCAATGATTGTCGCTGTTTCAAGTTCAATTTGCCATCCATGTATAAAACTTGCTTTCCTTCAGACCAATTGAAACACATCTTCAACTGTTCTACAACAAATTCTAGGGGATCAATGTACTGGCTGAAAACAAGTACTCTCTCACCAAGTGCTTCAGCAAGCCGGATGAATTCCACCAAGAATCTCATCTTTGCCCCTTCATTTGGATTCTGTCTCAGTTCTTTCTTAAAGGCCTCAGTATTCCTTAAGTGTTTTTTTGATAAAACCTGGTCAATAGCTAATTTTTCATCCTTGGATAAAAAACATCTTTCCAGGAACAGTGAAGGGTGCACAGATCCTATTGACAGCTTGCATTCAAAGTCAAAAGTGTTGTGAGATTCAATGCTGCTTTTCTTTTGCCAACGAGATTCAATGCTCTTTAGAAGCTCTTTCTGCAGATCAGGTGGATTCAACATCACAACACAATCTTTCAATCCGTGGAGTTTTTTCTTTAGAATGTCGCCTTTGTGTACATGAACAAATGGAGCCATTAAGGCTTTCAGCTCCTCAATCTCTTTATCTTCAGGCTTTTTATCCTGTCTGTGGGAATCAAAACATTGCTCTTTACCATCTCTTTTCATTGGCATCAATCTCTTTTGGCAGAATTTCTTTATCTTCAGTGGAATTTTATCTGAAAATGATGGTCTCACCAAGCACAATGTGTTGTACAGCTCCATGAAATTATTCTGGAATGGTGTCCCAGAGAGGATGATCCGCTTTTCAGCCTGAACTTTTGAGAGAACCTTCCAAATTCCACTTCTGTGATTCCGTGGTGTGTGCCCCTCATCAAGAACAAACAGGCCAGGCAACTCAAGGAGAATCTTCCGTATCTCCTCACTTTCCTTATCAAGCACACCTTCCTTACTTTTCTTGGCAACTTTAGTCTCTTCCTTTGCTGACTTCCTCTTCTTCTTTCTTCCCTCATCAGTAATGAATTTTCCTCCAGCAAGCTTCTCAAACAACTGATAACTGACTGCAAGTATGCTTGGCTTCTCCTTCCATAAAAACAGCTTCACCATTCGTTTCTCATTCTTGCTCAATACTTTGCGCCTATTTTTCTTTATGTGGTCCACAAATTTTGTCTCCACTTCTGATAACTCAACATTCAAGTTATGAAATGGAACATCAACCTTCCACTTCTTAAATTCCTCCTCCCAATTGAGTAACACACTAGTAGGAGCAAGAATTACAGGCCTGCATTTCGGGAAAAGTTGCAGATACGTCTGTAGAAAGACTATTGTCAGTCCTGTTTTTCCAGTTCCAGGTGCATGTGAAATAATGCAGCCTCCACCCTCATTAGTACCTAAGCTCGTCACCGAATGCTCAGTACCATCTGAGCTCTTCAACTTAGCCAGGTTGAAAGTTCCAGCTAAATTTTCCCACATGAACCTGAAACCATCCAGTTGATGAGGATACAATTTTCTCCTTATTGTCTCCGGAATCATATCCCAAACCGTGCCTTCCAAAGAATTGTACAGGTCCTGAAAATCCCCACTTCCTAATTGAGAATAGAGTTCATCAAACAAAGAACCATCCTCTGGACGGTACCAATTCTCTCTTCCTGAACCATGGTAATCTTTTTCCTGTAAGAGACAATGTCAATGAATGAGTTAAACACAACACAAAGTAACCAAAGTGCCAAACTAAGCTGAATGTAATGCAACATCAACACTTACCATGGGCGATGAAAAATATTTAATCTCAAGTCTTACATAGCCACAGACAGTGCACCTTATGCCGAGTTCCAAATCAACAATTTCATTATGCTTCCCTTGAGAACAAAGGCTGGCATCATGTGCTGATTCATTCTTCTCAATTTCACTAACCTGCATGGCATAGAAAATACATGTGGTTTAAGCAACTGTTTAGTAAATTACACCAACACTTCTTAAAACCAATTGGGCAAATCCAAGGACTTGTTAAGTCACATAATTATAATCTTATGAAGAAAGTAAATTAATTCTCAACCTGTTTCCTCGATGAAACAATAAGAAGAAAGATGTACTAAAGGCTACATCCTAAGGTTGAAAACAGAGGACCCTAATCCATCTAGAATTAAAGAGCAGTTTGACACTTACTGCAGGGTAATCTTTTGAACCAATTTCAATTGATTTTTGATAGAAATCCATCTCCTTCCATATATCATCCAGCTCGATGTCGTGTCCAGATTTCTGGACTTGGTTTTGAATCCCAAAACTGAACTTTCGAGGAAGTGTCTCCTCTGTACAAGGAGGATCAGTATATTTCTCAGGAGTTTCTTCATTGGAAGGACGTAAATTTTTCAACAAAGCTAAATCTTTTTTCTCCCACATTGAATCAGCTAAAAGTTTGAAAACATTTGCTCTATTGCACCCTCTGCCATTCTTCTTTTCCTCTTTCTTCCTCCCAACTTCGACTCTCTTTTCCTCTTCACTCTCCTCAGCAGATTCTTCAAGCAAATCACCGGAATGATCAACACTTTGGTCACTCCGTTGTTCCGAATGAGAGTCTTCTGATTTTTCCATCTCCTCTTCCAACCCACTGTCACTGTCACCGGAATCTGAAGAAGTAGTTAGAACTTCAATATGGTCTATGTCAGACTGAGGCGGACTCATCAATGCTGCAGCAGAGTCACTGTTAGTCTCCTCACCTTCATCACCACCATCTTCATCTTCATCTTCATCAAGGCCTATTTCACAAAACTCCGACGATTCAACGACCCTCTTACCTTTTCCTTTACTTTTACCTTTACCTTTACCAGTCTGTTGGTCTTTCTCCCCAACGACTTGTCCTCGCCCCTCATCACCGTTCTCCTCACGAATGAAAACCACATCAGAATCGTCCTCCTCAGACTCAGACTCAGACTCAGACTCAGACTCAGACACAGACTCAGACTCAGACTCAGACTCAGAATCAGACTCAAACTCAAGCCTTCTCCTTTTCCTCTTCTCAAGCTTTGATTTTGGGGGCACTTTCTCTCTATTTCCCACCAGACTTTTGAAATACAAGTCACTTTGGGAGCGAGTTCTTCTTGCAATGCAAGAAGAACGATCCATTCTTAGAACAATAGAACCTACAATCGTGGATGTTTACTTGGATTATAGATTAGATGAAGAAACAAGAGCAGATGAGTTGTGTTTGGAGGGTGAGAAAATACAGGGAAAGAAAAAGGGAAGAGAGGAGAGAATCCTAGTCTGTTTTGGACTTTGTTTAGGGTTTTTTTTGTCCCAGTATTGCTTCTGAACCCCAGATTCAGTATATCTTCCTAAAAGTAAATCAGAGAACACCATAATGGAAAAAAAGATATGCTGCTAAGTTTATTTTTGGTAACTTGAATCAGAAGAGAAATTAAAAGTGGGTTCAGTGTAACTCAGAAAAACAGAGTGGGTGCTTTTGATTTTTGTACAATGGCGCCAAGAAACGAAAAGCCACAAATAGTGCAGTTTATGGTATTCAACAGATGCCTTTATGTTCATACTACTTATTTTATGGGTTAAAGAACAAAAACTTTAATTCACAAGTGTACAAATTTGCAGAGAAGAGCAAGAGGCAAAGGCATTATGACAGAGAAGAGTTCAAAAAAAAGGGGAATTTTGAAACACCTGATTTACTAACATTTTTTTTGGTTTTGAAGTAGTTAGCAGTAATTATCTACTTAAATACTACCACTAGGAGTACATGATTAAGTTCATTAATTGCATTTATCTTTTCAAGTTAGCAATTTGGTTTGGAATAGAATCCCAATTCCCTACCCAAGAGTAATACTAATGTATGTACCAAAAAAAAAAAAAGAGTAATACTAATGTGTTTCTTTTCATATTCCTCAAGAAGTGACTGTCGGTTTAATTTCCAGAGAAAGCCAAAAGGCTGTGAGAGAATTTTTTAAGTGTATTGATTAAGTACACTAATAATACTACTACATGTAATGTGAGTGAGTACATTAAATTTCATTGAAGATCCTTAGTCGGTATTGTTTATGGTAATACTATCATCAGGGAATGGAATTATTCCTACTTTTTTTTTTATTTTTTTGACCAAAAGAAAGCATTAAGTGCTCTAAAGAGTACCAGCTTTTCCAGATGCTAGCAATAGCAATATAGCATGCTGAATTGATGGAAAGTAGTCCACATGAATGAAGGTTGTGAGCTGCTTTCTTTTATTTTTGGAAAATTGGCAATTCTTTCTGATCTTAACTATACAAGAACAAGGTTGAATTCCTGTTTTTAGTAGAGAAAGATATTGGTAGTTTCGTTTTCTTGTTTTAGTTCTCTTCAAACCAATTGCTATTTACTCGTAGGATTTCAGTTTTGGGCAGTACCATTTACATCCCATTTTTGCTCTCTTTAAACAGCAGCTTGGACATTATTTGTCAGTGCAACTTAACAAAAGACAAATACATAGAAAAATATAAAGTAAAAGTTGAATCACAATAATATATAAAAATAAAAAGAGTTTAGTGTATTTACAGTTAAAATTGTATCAAATTACAAAATTAAAACACTTAGATTGGGAGATGAGGTTCTAATATTGGGAGTTTTCCTCAATTCAAAAATAATTGTTTTATATTTCAGTACAGTTTAGACCATAAAAAGTTTTTTGAAAATAAAATAAAGTAATGAAGTCAAATTGTCACATAATTAGGAAAAAACTAAAAAGTATATACCACAAAACTAGGTTTTCCCTAAACATGTAAAAATGAAATGTTGTATTCTCTTAAGTTCACTTTGTGTCGTGGCATGATACATAATCATTCTTGGTCTTATCCTCCGTTTTTGTTTAACATACAATCATCTAAACAAACATATTTCCTAACATGCATGGGACGTAATCAAACAGAATTTGATTTGATCTTGTTTCAAGGACATGGAAATGGAGTCCATGTTGACATTTAAAAAAAAAAAAAAAATCAACGTAGCTTGGATAATTTCAATTTTATATCATAACATATGCATGTGTACTAGGTTTATTCCCTTAAACAATCTTCAAAAGAAGAGCAGGAGAATTTTTTTAACCAAGTAAATGAAAACCAGCATCAAGTCCTGTCCCAAGAAGACATTTTTAGGGATTAATGAACTTAAAACCTAATTTGTCGAGCTATGAAGATTTGGGGAGATTTAAATTTTGGGGTTTATCTA